TATGGGGATTTTGACCGTATCCCCCAAAACAATAATACATTCTCTGTTAATTTGATGAAACTAGGAATAAATACTGTTCAGCTAGTTTCTATCCAAACGTTTTGAAACTTAGTATATTTACTTATTTTTGGGTGTCMTTTCATGGGGTGGGGTTTGTTTCGTGATTAGATCAATATTTCTTTGATTAGTGCCCAGTCCCCTGCGCAACTCCGGAATGGCTAATTTGTTTTGTTTCCATATATGGCATCGATTCGCTAAAGGAAGCCCGAAACATACAATTTTTTGTACTAAAACGTTTCTGTTCTTGCTTAATTCTTTTCCTTTCCCAATAATAACCTTATGTACTATTTGAAATTTGTCCAACAGAAGTCTCACATGTTACCTCCAGGTTGCTATAATGGCTGCTGTCGATCTCATCCTTGCATGAACGGAGGAACATGCGAAGAGCTCTGCACCACCCCAAAAAAGAAGTTCGCCTGCAAATGCTCCTCAGTGTGGTACCATGGGAAGGTTTGCGAGAAAAAATATCCTTCGTCATGYTTGGAAATTTTGAAAAATTCCCCAAAAGGAGTAATCCCGGCAGATGGTAATTACACCATCATGTTAAAAAACAACTTGATTCTGAAAACGATATACTGTTCATTTGTTKCACCAAATAGGGCTTGGGCTCTAATRGAATCGTTCTCTTTGGCTAACAACGACATCTTTAAAAGACGAGCATTTTATGAGGATAACTTCCATAGAAATAAYCAAKACCCAAAYTGGGAGAAATATCGCTTGCMMAATCAAAACATCAGAAACTTCCACGCGATGTCGACCATGTTTCGTATCACGTGTGATTTCCCAAAGAGAGGTGGCAATTTAACCCCTGACTACGCATTTGGATACCTTAGAGACTATGATATCATCATGCATGGCGACACCAGAGATAAGTGCTTCACATTTACCTATATCAACATACGAGGACATGATTTTTACAACGTCTCTGTTMRCCCCATACAAATGTCCGACCGTTATCATTTCCATCTTGATTGTGGAAGGGATTCATGTAATTTTGATGTCCCTGGCCACATATCAGGCGAAGATTGCTTTGGATACTACAATACTCAAAACAAAGTATCTAAATGCAACGAAAGCCCTAAATCAACCACTCAGTTTTGGCTAGGACAGGAGTTGTAATATTGTTTTAAAATATCTTGAGCTACGTATATGCATGGGTTAGTGGTTTTTGAAATATTTGTTCGTTAATTGTGCTTTTATCAAGAAAGAATGGTTCTTGTCGTAAATGTACCGTCTCGGTGGCTACGCCTCTGACTATATATTTATAATTTCATGCATGCACTTATCTTAATATGATGTTCTTAA